CAAATGTCAGTAGGAGCACTAGGAGGAGCCAGAGGAACCTGATTGTTTCACACATTATGTGTCTCATGTTCTACTGTCAGGATATAGTGAAAGTTTCATGAAAATATGACCAAAAGTAATTTTTATAAAAATTACCTACTGCAGCTTTAATCACCTGAAGTAGAAGTACAAGTAGAATTATGAGACTGTATTCAGGCTTTAGTTTCAAATTTCACTCTGGCCTCTTCTTGAAGTTTGTATTAAACAAAATACTTTATCATCTCAATAAAAGGTATTGAAACCAATTTATATGTGAAAAAAGCTATTTATTATTTTGGCTGGTAGACTTTTTTCATCTACCAGTCACCATGGCCGGTGAGTCAAAAAGTTAATTTCGGACACTGATTGCAAGTCTGTTCTTGTCACCCCAAGAACACACAGTTACTGAAGCAGCCACTGTAACCCGAACTGCTGCCGTCCAGCTGTGTGTGTGTGTGTGCATATTTCTGGCCGTGAGCCAGTCAAGACAGGCTGGGGTTTTAAACAGCTCACAGCAGTATAGTTTTCACTGGTTATGTGCCTGTGGACAGCTGCATTTATGAGCTAACAAATTATTAGAGAAGTATTTTTTCCCAATCTCCACAGTGTATTATAATGCATCACTGTCTGTTTTTAAAGAATATGCTGTAACAACTGCATTTCCAAGCACAAGTGAAAGTTATAAAAAATAAAGATTGTTTTTGAATAAACGTGTTTGGGTAGCTTTCCAAAAAGGTATATAAAATACTAATATCATGTCAGACTTATAGTGTAAACTATAGTCTTTTTTTCAGATTTTTTTGTGTTGAAAACATGAACCTGTCTGTCTGTCTATCTGTCTATCTGTCTAGTGTATAAATCTCCTGAGTACGAGTCGCTGGGCTTCGACTTGACAGTGGAGCGCCTGGTGTCCATTGGATATCCTCAAGAGCTGCTCAACTTTGTCTACGACCCCTCCTTCCCCACCAGGCTGGTTCACAAAGCCCTGCCTTTTTGAAATTTGAATACAGACTTGATATTTAAATACCAGAGCCACAAATTGTCATTCTCAAGTGTGCTTTCTGTCTCTGATTTACTGTCTCACTTCCCTGTCTCCATTATTCAGAGGTCTGGTGTTTGACACAATGTATGGCAACCTGCTCAAAGTGGACGCCTATGGGAACATCCTGGTGTGTGTGCACGGATTCAACTTCTTGAGGGGGTGAGGGCCACTATTCCCACTGAGCTATCACCATAGTCCATCATTATCCAAATTGTCAGATTATTCCTCCACCTACAACAGTGTTCTTTAAATTAATCATAAACATAACAAAGCGTCTATAGCCATGCTAGTGGCACTGTGACCTAAATGCTAACGTCAGCTTGCTATAACATGCTCACAATGACAACACTAACATGCAGATGTTAAGCAGATACACAATTTATACCGTGTTTACCATCTTAGTTTAGCATGTTAACAAGCTAACATTAGCTAAATAATCCTAAATGCAGAGCACAGCTGAGGCTGAAGGGAATGCCATTCGTTTTGCAGGACTTTTAACCAAAGTATTTGGTATTACATTTATTATTTGGTATTACATCCTGAGAGCGATATTAATGTCTGCAGCAAATTTAATGACAATTCAGCCAATAGATTTTCAGATGCCCAAAGCAGGATTTACATTAGGCGGCATATGGCAGCTTTTGGTCAATGTCACAAGTCCGGCAGATGATATCATTAACTGTCATGTTTCCATCATAATCATTCTCTTTTTCTTCCGTATCTCTTATGTATTTACAACATAGCTTTTAATTTCTGTTTAAATGTAGGCTTTATATGACTATTTAAAACAATGTGTGGTAGTTGTACTAAATGGCCGGAAAAATGTGACAAAAAGCATTATAATGAAGTATTGTAGTTCTGAAGAGATTCCCTGGACTTCTCCAAAAGTTTGTTTGGTACAGACCCCAAGCAAAAATGTTCATTCCCACTAATCATCAATCAAATCGCAATACTAGTATCTGTCAGAAAAATAATAATATAATGATTTTCAGTTTTTGAGATATTCCAATGTGGACCAACGGACAGACTAACAGTGCCATGTCTCGAGCAATAGCACTAGCATGGCTAAATGATAAACTATACGGAAACTCTCAAGGTATCAAAAATGTAATACTGCTAAACCATAGTTCTGTGTATTGCATACAGTAAGATGCAGGAGTGTGTCTAGGTGTCTGGCTTATAAACAGCTATTAAAATATCGTCTACATACAGTATAATCAAGAGCATTTGATAGACCGGATTTAAACTTGTTAAATACGTTTTTAACCACTGTTGGCATTGTCTTCATGAGCATATTCCTGTTTGTTAGAATCTCACATGTTTGTAACAAGCACATGAGTGGCAGGATTCCTGACCAATGCAGAGGGAGCTAATAGAAATGCAATGTAATGCACAAAACTCTATCTATAGTGTAACTTGTGTTTCCTGGTTTGACCCTCTTACTCACTTGTCACCCTCCTGTGTATCTGTACTCACTCTGTACAGGCCTGACATCAGAGAGATGTACCCCAACAAATTTATTCAACGTGGAGACACAGACCGCTTCTACATCCTCAACACACTCTTTAACCTGCCTGGTAAGATAACGAAACAACTAGTCTGCAACCTTGGGCATCTTGGAAGTAAAAACTGAGGCTGAGTATTAAAACGTGATATATCATAAATGTAACATTTTAAGGTATTGAAGGTGAATCAGCTGAGCACTTTTTTACCACAAAGCTTCAGCCATCTTATTTGATTGGGTGTGTGGTCATTTGTTTGAATAAAGGGTGCATTTAGTCTATAAAGTAATAGATTTTTATTATTTTTATTTTTACACATTTTATTTATAGAGCACTTTTCATGATACTCAGACTTCACATAAGTTAAAGCTGGTGCTGCTAATGGCATTTGCAAAAATCCACCGGACCTGACAAAAAAAACAACCAATCAGAGCCGATAAAGATATAAAGACACTTAAGTTGATTGTTGAGTCTCATTCCAAGCATTTGTATTTGACAACCTAGAAATGAGTTTCAACAATCAACAATCTTTCTTAGCTCTGTCAGGATATAGTGAAAGTTTCAGCAAATATGACAAAAAGTTATTTTTATAAAACTGTAACTGTAATCAAAAAAGTTGGTGATTATTTTTCTGATATGATCATAGTATTAGTAGTAATAGTAGAACGTAGTATTCGGTAAGATTAGATATTATCCTATCAAAATAAAGTCATAAAAAGTTTGTTTGACTTTAATACTACTGTGAAAAATAGTAAAAAGTTGTACTGTATTCTAAACAAAATCAAAGAAAATTGAGCTTTGACAAAGCTGTCCACAGCTTTCTTTACAATGTTGATTGGTCACGTTGATGTTCAGGTCTGCAGTCAGTCTTACTCATTCTAGTCTTATGTCTTCTTCCTCAGAAACCTACCTCTTTGCCTGCCTGGTTGATTTCTTCAGTAACTGCTCCAGATACACAAGGTACTGCACACTGAAGCTGTCACATTCTTCATAAGACCCTGTTTACTGAAAGTGATCATGTACAGTGGAATTTCACTATCCCACGATGGAGAAGTAGAATTCCATGTTACTCAGACTCAAATGTTAACCTGATTCTAACTGTCTCTGTAGTTGTGAGACTGGCTTCAAAGACGGCGACCTTTTCATGTCCTACAAGAGCATGTTCCAGGACGTCCGAGACGGCGTGGACTGGGTTCATTTCAAGGTACAATCAGTTCCTTATCCACATGAAACCTGTTTCCAGTCAGCTGTCAGCCGTCCCCTGCAGTCAGTTCATTCCTTAGTCCGCTGTTTGATTTATTTTCACAGGGCTCCTTAAAAGAAAAGACGGTTGAAAACCTAGAGAAGTATGTGGTAAAGGATGTAAGTAAACCAGCACAATAAGGCCTGCTTATACATGTAACTATATACCATCCTAGACTGTTACTTTGTAGTTGGGGTGACAAATACTCTTACTTTGTTTTCCCTCCACCAAGCTGAAGCTTCCTCTTCTCCTCAGTCGCATGAATGAAGTAGCCAAAGTATTTCTGGCCACCAACAGTGATTACAAATACACAGAGGTGAGATCAAAGTTTACTGTCAGACTACAAACTACTGCCTCTTTTGAACGTTTTATTGTTTCTGCAGTGAAGACTTTACTGAATGAATGTGACCTGGTGCAATGATTAGTTTTCACAGTTGCATGAATGGTGCTGCTGTGAGTTGCCTAGTGGAGTATAGTTTCTATTTTTTTCCTTCTGGTCCAGGATGTTAACAAAAAACTCTCCTGTCTTTTTACAGAAAATAATGACCTACCTGTTTGACTTTCCTCACGGCCCAAAGGTAACACCAGTGCTTTAATAACATTTTCACTGTCAGGAATCACTATAGGTTTTAGTTGAACCACCGTGCTTAGAAATCTTTGCAACAGTATGACGATAGTGCATTCAACAGAGACAAATACAGATCTCATTTGTCATGAATAACATGAGGTGTCAGAGCCGATTACCAATGTGGCAGCCAGTATAGTGAATTTTTGAGCTGGTTTGAAAATAGAGCATTTCTATGTGGATTGTGCACCAAATTTGCACCCATATGTCTATGCAAAGATACCTGTATCCAGTGTTTCCTCTAGGATTTT